ATATAAATTCTTTTAGCAGCGAGAAAAAAAATCTAACTTTTGTTTCGTTTATATGTAGGTTGAGAGACTACCAGCAGGTCATTTATTAATTAAATGTATCTACACTATTTTGTTTAAGGTAGTAAGGGAAATGGTAGCTTAATTTTATCCAAAATGATTTGAGTAGACCCTATATCTTCATTAAATTTCACATCGCTTTGCTTTGTCAAAAGGTATTATCATCCAGAGTAAAGTGCAGTTTCGACTTCACCTAGGTCCTATAAACACTCCCAGCGGGACTGGAAGCATGAAAATGCAGCAAATAATCTGACAAATTAAACAATACGCCATATTGCCATGGATGCCTTTGGATAAGAGGGCAGATGTGTATTTCAAATGAAGTCAGGCATTTTTTCATATCACATTCTGTGGTGGGATTGTCGATGTATTTGCAATAGCAAACAACGGCATTACTTTTATCGTAAATTATTAGGTTTTCGATACTACCAGTAAACATATGAATTGCGTTCCTTGAAATTCACATCTGTCCCGTGACCCAAGAGAACTCGTGGCAATGTGGCGAAGTAATTAACGTGTCGAGCTTACACGCTGCACTGTAATGGTTCGACTCCCACTTGGGGGTGTTGATAATATCTAGGCGAGACTGCAGTCCACCCTGGATGAGAACACCTTATGAGAAAGCAAGGCTATGTGAAATTTAATGGAAAATTCCAGCTTTTCTCATATTATTGTGGGAAAATCAACTACCATTCCCTTATCAACTTGAATGAAATAGGGTGAGTACAACTCATATATATGATTTACTGATATTCTCAAAAGCCTACTCATTTACATTACTTACGTTTCATTTATATGTAAGTTTTTGAGACTGTTCGTTGAAGTTATCCTACACTGAAATTAGTTGAACTTACATTTTCAGGTCGAAATTGCAGTCCACTCCGGGTAAAAATATATTTTGAGGAAGCAAGGCTATGTAAATTCAATGGAAATGTAGGCTATATTCATATCATTGTTGGAAAATTTCAACTGCCATTCATCTTATCCCCTTAAAGGAAATAAGGTGAACATACTTCATACATAAATACCTTTACTTTGACAGCTATTTAATTTTATTATATATATATATATCTAATATCACCTACGCATATATTTTAAGTTCATGTGTATATTTATCTTTTGAGTGCGGCAGATTTTGTAGACAAAATGATGCCAGCATTGGCAATTGTGCGTTCGACTGGGGATGTTTTTTGGCCTGTTCCAACGAAACTTCAGAGTTCCTGTAAAATAGACGTCACCTACTTTCCATTTGACCAGCAAATGTGTCTTCTGAAATTTGGGACTTGGACATATGATGGCTTTAAGGTATGACAACAAATAATTTACTTAATTTACTAAAATCCAGTCCAAATATACGCATGTTAGACAAAATACTACTTATCCGAAAAAGAGTACTACAAAAGAGCATTTCAGTAAAAGTTTAAAAAAACGCTTTATTTTATAAAAAATGATTTCATTTATTTTGTATATTAATACAAACTAGGCAAAAGTTATTACATTATTTCATCTATAGCAGATTAATGAAGGATGCTTCAGGGGAATTTAAAAATATATTATATACATACTAGTCCAAACATTCGCGATTCTCTACTTCTAATGAAAATACTAAACTAGTTTATAGTGGAATTATCTATCTTAATAATATCATGTAGATCATTTTATGATAAATATTTTATTGAAATTATAGATTATTTGCTATGATTTATGTAGGATAGCATGAAAAGAATTAAACAGATTGATAATAATTGTCAATATGTTATGTAAACCCTGTATTAATCCCACCTACTTTGAATTAGCAAAGCTTTAGCTTTTCATAATGTAATAAGTTATTTTTCAGTTCTAAAGCATATATTACTTTTATTAAATGCGAAGAAATAGGGCGAAGAAATTATAGTTAGATATTCAGGATTATCTCTCTTTTACTTTTTGACTTATAGGTGAACGTAACTAAATTGAGGGATAATATTGATACAAATACCTATGTCCCTAATGGTGAATGGGAATTAATCAAGACCGAGGTCAGTGTATTAAAGTTATTTTTAAGTTCGTTAATTATAAATATCATGCTCTGAAGCCCATTTATTCTTTAAAAAATACGCATATATTTTGTGGCTATCTAAATATTTTGAGTTAAGATTCCTGCATAGATAAAATCTTTATAAAGTAGAACATCCCGAAAGACAAGTTATAGACTAGAAATTTTTTTACCTGTTTACATCACTCATGTTGATTTTATTTATTTATACTTATACAATTGGATAGTAATCAAAGCTAAACTAACGACCTTTTGAACTTAATGTTTTAGCAAGCATTATGGATCTTGGCGATTCTATGAAAGAGTATTTGAGAACTAGATCAAGAAACTAGAGGTTAAATTGCATGTAATAAATGAGAAATTAATACTTTATGCCGTAGCATGCCATTTGTCAGGAGAGTAGAAACATTGAGGATAATTTTATAACTTTTTGTTTAGAAAGATTGTCCAAATCCTTTTACTCAATAACATTGCTAGACAATTAAGTGCCGTGAAGAAACGCAGAGTTTAATGTTTTAGGGTACAAGTAAGATATGCGTGAGTACAAATGAATTTGGGGTTTGTAAATTGAGAGACTTCATTTAAAGCTCATCGCCTCTTTGACTTTGATAGGATAAGAGAATTATTTAACTTAATAGTCAATTACGAGTAGAGCGAAACCAATGAGGATTTACCTTTGCCTTGTAAACTATTAAAATGATTTTAGAGACCTTGTTGATATTCAGTAAAATAAACACATATAGTCTTGTGAACCAAGTTGAAGCCTGGTAATTGAAGGCTTCTCGAAGGGTACTGGTGGTACTTCGTGATTATGTTTCAAAAACAGAGAACCAAACACTTAATCGGGCTTAGATCTTATGAGCGATTGGATATCAAAGGATGTCCAATTACATAAAGAAATTTGTATGAAAGATCAGTAACTTCGCTTTACCGGAGACAAAAAGATGATTGCCCTACAGATTTGAATGTTGATTCTAACAAAGAAATCTTTTTTTCGTATTAGAGTATAGTTTTGAGACTACCTGTAAATCAGTAATATGAGATGTATTGACCCTATTTCGTCTAAGGTGATGAAAGAGTGGTAGTGTTATTTTCCCACTTTGTTCATATATACATTTGCCGATAGATGTGAGAACGAAGATCCCATAGGAAGTCCAATTGTTGAGCGTAAAGTAAGTATTCATTACTGTCAAGCTGATAATCATCGTGTTAACGACTCCCTTCTGACACTATCGGCTTCTAGGATATCATTTTCTTGATCCAAAAGTTCCACTTGGACCGCTACACTTTTACACTAGAAATGTTTGCGTACATAGATGGTATGAGATGTATTCATCCAATTTCGCTTAAGATGATGAAGGACTGGTAGTAGAATTTTTCCACAATGATATAAGTAGAACTGACGGTTTCGTTGAAGTTCACAGAGCCTTGCTTTCCTAAAAGTTGTTCTCATCCAGGGCGGACTACAATTTCGACCTCGCATAGGTCTCATCAAAATTACCAGTGGGAGTCGAACCATGACAGCGTAGCGTTTCTCGAAACTCTACTTATATACATAGATTGTACATCAAAATTTACCAAATATTCTGCTCCTTCAAGTGTCGTAATTTTGAACTTCTTAGAAAATTCATATGAGTGCTTTACTGTGCTCTATAATCTCTCATTTACCTTTTTGATTACTAGACATATGAACATATGATGTGTCAAGATTTTCGGGATTATTTCTATCTCCATTTCGCGTTTTATCCCCTTAGATAACTTGGGGGAGATATTGATGATCTACACTAGAATGTCTTCAAGAAGGTTATTTTGATTTTTAAGAGAAGAGGTGAGTCCTGTGTTTATATTCATATTGATTTCAAGATCAAGAGGAAGCGAGGGTAGATTCACTATCTTATTATGTTTGTATTGGAAACCTCTTCAACTGGGTGCGCTAGCTTTAACCTACGTTATATTATAATTCCATAATGAGAAATGTATTGTCCTACCTTCTTGTTATTTAGTCAGCTATCCTACGTGATTTCTTGTCAGCCATATTCTGGAGTTTTCGAAAATCCGCTGAAGTCAGAATCCTGGCCAGATCACGACGGAGCTTGAGTGCAATATCTATTAACTGAAATACCTTATTTCTCTTCATATCATAGGTTTCGTTTAACATTTGAATATAAATCTGGTGAATAATCTCATTAACACTATCTGAATGGTAGTTTCTCTTAAAGTCATAAAATCCAGGAGCGACACTGTAACGTTAACAAAAGTTTAAAAATGTCAGATGACATAATTAACTTACGCTTGCCTTATTTGCCAGGCTGTATTCAGTGCATTGTCTGGCAAACTTATTAACGTTGTTTAAACGTAGATACGAACACCAAAATATTGTGGCCTAAATTTTGGTTGCAGACTACTTTCGAAATATGGCAGTAGTTTTACCTGGTTTTTGCAACTTTCTCATAATGGGAGGAAGTCCTAAAGAAACATACATTGTTCAGGGTCTATAGTATGCATGGTCATTTACCCATGGACTTGGTACATACCCAGATATTTCGCCGTTATCGTCAGTGAGTCCTGTCATTCTAATCAACAAACTAAACCTCGTCAAAGAAACTGAGGAGAAGGATAATACGATAAACGGATGTGGAATTCTGGGATGAAGAATAGGAAAAAGTAACTCGGATATCCCTCGGCAACGGAGGCCCATGCGAAGTAATACAAAGAATCAAACTGGCCGTAAAAGCTGATAGCAAGGTGGGGATTATGAAAGAAGGTAAAAATGGAAAAATACTTAAAATAGTGGATATGCCTTCTTTCTACGAACTAGCCCAAAACCTACGGCCAATATTAAGAAAATGGAATATTCACGTGACCATGAAGGAAAAAACAACACTCCTTACCAGCCTACCCACGCAATGTGAGAAAGTAGGAAAATTGAACTGCTTGGGAGCTTACTGCATAGGATTCAACGCCTACGAACATGAATATATTTGGGAAACAGTGCGAAAAATCTGCAAACGAATTAAGGAAAAGCAATGTCTCTGCAGGAAATTAAATACTGAAATATCGGATATAGCGAATTACAACGCACAAACTGGACATGATATCAAATGAAAAGCGACAGA